CGCGGAGCCGTGCGGAGCCGTGCGGAGCTGTGCGGTGCGGAGCCCAGCGGAACCCAGCGGAGCCGAGCGGGGCACGGGCGCTGCCGGGGCCTCCCCGGTGCCCCCCGGGCCGGGCTGGGTCGGGCCGGGCCGGGGGCGGAGGGAGCAGGTGAGCGGCGGGGCAGAACCCCCCGGTGCCCTCTGCAGCGGAGAGACGGGAACGGGGGTGGGGGGCTCCCGCCGCGAGTTCATCGCCCACCGGAGCCGCCCGGGCTCGGGGTGCCGCTGCCGGCTCGGAGGGAAGGGGCTGCACCCGCCGAACGGCCGGGAGAGGAGGAGGCTTTCYCCCGGCGCTCGGTGCTCCCATCAGTCGCATCAGGCGCACCCACCGGAACGCACCGCTCGCATTTGTGGAGTCGTAAAGGCTCCGGGATCGCCAGAGCCAKGAGGAGCTGTGGCGTGTCCGGGAGGCTGCTCGAGCAGGGGACACGGGGAGGTGACTTAGGACCCCCCCTTCAGGGATCTCTCTCCCGCTGAGCTTGGCAGCAGGATGGACAGATCCTCCTCGGGAATCCCCTCATTTCTATCTACTCTCTGATTTCTAGAATCTTCTCCTCTCTCCCCAGARCAAGGGAAGATGACATCTCGGCTCCTCTGAGCTGGCAGTGCCCGGGGAGCGGCAGAGCCATGGAGTACGAACTGCCCAATGCCACCGCCTTCTGGTTCTCCCCGGCTTCCCCCTTCGACAACTTCTCCCTGGAGGCGCCCACCAACACCTCCCAGAACGCCACGGGCCAGCACTTYGACCTGACCAGCAACGCCATCCTCACCTTCATCTACTTCGTGGTSTGCATCATCGGGCTGTGCGGCAACACGCTGGTCATCTACGTCATCCTCCGCTACGCCAAGATGAAAACCATCACCAACATCTACATCCTCAACCTGGCCATCGCAGACGAGCTCTTCATGCTCGGGCTGCCCTTCCTGGCCATGCAGGTGGCCCTGGTGCACTGGCCCTTCGGCAAAGCTCTCTGCAGGATTGTCATGACGGTGGATGGCATCAACCAGTTCACCAGCATCTTCTGCCTGACGGTTATGAGCGTCGATCGGTACCTGGCTGTCGTCCATCCCATCAAATCTGCCAAGTGGAGGCGGCCCAGGACAGCCAAAATGATCAACGTGGCCGTTTGGGGCGTTTCCCTGCTGGTGATCATGCCCATCATGATTTACGCCGGGGTGCAGCACAACCACGGCAGGAGTAGCTGCACCATCATCTGGCCGGGAGAGTCGGGCGCCTGGTACACGGGATTCATCATCTACGCCTTCATCCTCGGCTTCCTGGTGCCTCTCACCATCATCTGCCTTTGCTACCTGTTCATCATCATCAAAGTCAAGTCCTCGGGCATCAGGGTGGGCTCGTCCAAGAGGAAAAAGTCSGAGAAGAAAGTCACCAGGATGGTGTCCATCGTGGTCGCCGTCTTCATCTTCTGCTGGCTCCCTTTCTACATCTTCAACGTCTCCTCCGTGTCCGTCATGATCGTGCCCACGCCCGTCCTCAAGGGCATGTTTGATTTCGTGGTGGTCCTCAGCTACGCCAACAGCTGCGCCAACCCCATCCTCTACGCCTTCCTGTCCGACAACTTCAAGAAGAGCTTTCAGAACGTGCTGTGCCTGGTGAAGGTCAGCGGCATGGACGAGGCCGACCGCAGCGACAGCAAGCAGGACAAATCCCGSCTCAACGAGACCACGGAAACGCAGAGGACCCTGCTCAACGGTGACCTGCAGACGAGCATCTGAGGGGACGGCGGGGCTGGTGCGTCCCGCGCTCTCCTGTCCCCGCTGGGGGTGGCACTGCGGAGTCAGGGCAGGAATGCCACCCGAGGGGACGGCTGTGAGCACACGATGGGCGCGGGGCTCCTCTGCTGGGCTCCTCTCTGCTGGGTTGGCTTTCGAGTGCTGGGAAGAAAATGGATCAGGAGGAGCTGCCTCGCCAGGAAAACAAAGACAACTCGCGGCGACGCAGCGCATTTCRACACCAAAGTGCCACCGCGGGCACAAGTATGGCCGGGGTGGCTCTGCTGGGTCCCCGTGCCACCCCCGGGGCCGGATGGCTTTGGGACTCCGCCCCACAGCGGGTGGGTGCTCCTGGACACACAGAGGGACCTCAGGAGGAGCCGAGGCCACAGGTGTGTGACAGCAGGGGAGGGGATGCTCCGAGCTGCGGGGAGCTCCCGGCGAGTCCCAACGTGCTGCCGCCCTCCCCAGGAGATCAGGATGTTCGCGATTGCATTTTCCAGGGCTTATTCCTTACTCCACCGCCTGCCCTGCAGCCTCCCCGAGCTGTGTGACTGCCGCAGCCGCCCTGCCCGGAGGGGACACGCCACCATGGAGGCGACTTCCCCACGGGAAGCAGCCCCTCCGGTCCCTCCTCCAGCCCTGCCACGTCCCGCTGCCGGAGAGCCCTTTCTCTGTCACCTGCCCGCAGATTTTCTCCTGGGATGGAGAATTTCCCCGTTTTGCCCCCGCGGTTCCCGCTGCCCCTCCCAGCGCCCGCATCTGCCGGCGGTCGGTCCCACGCTGCCCCGAGCACCCGCGGCACCTCGCCGGGCTCCGCTCCCTGCTGGGAAATGCTTGGGAGTGTTTAAGCAGCGGTGACACATGGCAGGGTTTGGAAAGCCCGGCTCGGGCTCCTGCACCTGGCTGAGATCGGGGTTTGTCCGGCCACGGCTCCGAGGATCGCTGGGTGACAGCTCCCTGCTCCTTCCAGGCAAGTCACGCTGGAGGCAGGGGTGATGGAGAGGATGGGGAGGGGAAAAGGGAGCTGGGACTCGGCCCCCACCCCTGTCCGAACCGAAAGGACCGGGCAGAGCAGAAACACGGCTCCCAGAGCTGGGAACGGGGAAGAGCAGGGCAGCACGGATCCATCCCCGGGTGGCAGGGCTGGCCCCACATCTGCTCTATTTGGCTTCTCAAGAGTGTCCCGGAGCGCTCGGCTCTGTCCCTGTCGCTGTCCCTGTCCCTGTCCCTGTCCCTGTCCCTGTCCCTGTCCCTGTCCCTGTCCCTGTTCCTGTCCCTGTCCCTGCCTGCCCTCCCAGCTCAGCACAAACCCCGATCCCCCAGTTCAGCCCCTCCTTGGCCGGCTCAGCGGGAGCTCCAGGGAAAGCCCAGGGGAGAGGGAGAAGTGGCGATTTCCTGCCGGAGCCCCCGGAGCAGCTGCCGCGCCAGAGGCCGGATCTGTTCACAGAGCGGAGCCGTGGGAACGCGGGGGGCGAGGTGCAGAAAGCAGCSGGGGCTCGGGCACCCTCCCCTGTGCCAGCCCACCCTGCTGTGCCATCCCCAGCCCACGGAGCCTTCACCTGGCACCGCGGACAGAGCGGGAGGTGAGCCTGAGCGCTGCCCACGAGGTGCTCCTTGCCTTGGGGTCCCTCCTTGCTCAGCCCCGTCCCCCCAGGCGATGCTCTGAGGGCACCAGCTCTGGCAGAAGTTTTCCCGTGGCTCTGCCCAGCTCCTGCAGCAAATCCCAGCCTGGGCATCCCACCCTGCCAGCCCCCCAAAAAAGGGGTCGGTGCCCGGCTGGGTACCCGCTCCTGGCTCTGTTGGACACGGCTCAGGCGTTTTCTGCAAGACAAAGCAGAGCGTTGTCAGCAATTGTTTGCTTTTAACCCTTCCCTCCTCCTCGAGGGGCAGTGACTGCATTCAGGTGCGGGTGGGCACCGTGTGTCACCTTCCTGTCCCCTCTCTGGGCACCGAGCACAGCCCAGCCCCGGTGCGGGGAGCGAGGCTGACCCCGGGCTGCGAGCAGRGCAGGATCCGTGCTGATGCTGCAGGAATTGCAGCAGCAGCGGGTCAGGGCACGGTGAAACGCCGCCTGGAGAGGGCCGGCAGCAGCGCTGGGATGAGGCTCCGTGTCACAGCCGCAGTGATGCGTCAGTGGAGCCGTGGGCACTCCGTGGAGGAGGTGTCTGYGTGGAATGGGGAGGGGGAGGCGTGGAGGCCTCTGTGATCACCTGCAGCCACACCAAACCCCGGTTTGCCGTTTTCTGGCTTCATCCCCGCCGTGCCTGTGCAAGCCCTGCTGCCAAAATCCCGACGGATGATGGGGGGGACTCCAGTTCCCAGCTGTACCCTCACAAAACCCCCAGCTGGGAGCATCCCCTCGCTGTGCCGGTTTGATGTGGAAATATGGAAAACTTGGGAATTCCAGCCCTGGGAAGGAGCCRTGCCCAGGTCAGCTTTGTCCTGGCAAACCCCCAGGCAGTGCCACTTCTGTCTGCCCAGARCTGTGTCAGAAAATGTTCCTGGGGYTCTGCTGGGAKGGGGACAATGGGGCTGCAGGTGAGGAATGAGGGAGTGGGRCACTGCCACCGATATCCCAAAGGCCACCAAGATGGGATGCAGCAGGCACGAGGTGGCTCCTGAGGGCTGCCAGGGCTCTCCTTGGCCGCCTTTCCACAGCTCATCTGGGAGAAAGGGGCAGGGAAGCAGAACGTTCTGCCTCCGAGCTCTGGGAGGGAGCTGCAGGCTCAGCCCGGCATTGGCAGTAAAACCAGCAAAATAAAACCTTCTGCTGTTCATTGCTGACTAATAAACACCAGCACCGCCGCTGCTGCTGCCAGTAACGAAGTTTTCCTTCCCAGCCAMTTGATTTTAGTGGGAGCTTGACCTCGGATTGGATCTGCTCTGCAAAGCCTCGCAGGGCTGCTGGTGGCGGGATGAGGAATCTCTGCTGGTGATTGCAGAGCCTGTGAGCAAATCCCTCACACGGACCGGCCCTGGGCAGGCGGGATGAGGACAGGAACAGCAGGAACGGCGCTGTCACCAATCCCAGGGGATGGCAAACACGGATTGGGGTGTTTCATCAGCTCTCCGGGGTGCCTGGAGAGTTTTGTTTTTGTTGGAGACTCCACCAGGGGAGGTTCCTTCCCTCCCAGAGCTGCCCAGGGTCCATCCAGCTCCATTCSCAGCAGGGAGAGCCCCCAGGCTCGGGGCTGTGCTGTGCTTTGGAGYTCTTCCAGCCCTCACTGCGAAGGAGCCGATTCCAAACTGCTCAGGGAGCGACTCCATCCCCTCCCCGAGAGGGAATCACCGGCAAGGCACAAGGAAAGGACACAGCAGATCCCAAATTTGCCTTCCTGCTGCGAGTCTGGGATGGCACTGCTGCCTTCCAGCCCAGGATGGCTCTGCCCTTCCCTGCCAGCCTCAGACACACAGCCCTGCGCATCCTGAGGGATTCCAGCTCCACTCCCTGCTCGCTCCAGGACCTGGACTGCAAACAGCCAGGGTGGGAGGAGAGGCAGAGTGGGGGGATCCTGCCCTGAGCTGTGTCTGCAAGAGGAGATGATGAGAAATGCAAAACCTGGACATTCCATCGCTCTATCCCTCCATTCCCCATCCATTTATCCATTTATCCATCCATTTATCCATTTATCCATTTATCCCTCCATCCATCCATCCATCCATCCATCCATCCATCCATCCATCCATCCATCCATCCATCCATCCATCCATCCCACCCCGGGCTGGGAGGAGGGATGGGGTGGCTGACTGTAAATATTCTGTACATACTGGCTTTGCCCAGGGGGTTTTCTGTTCACTGTCACAGCCCCTCGGGAGGCTTTGGTTCCCCCTCACCCTCCCCGTGGGTGTGCTGGGGCATTGGTGGCACCGTGCATGAGCCGGGAGGGACCATGGAGGACACAGAGGTGACTTGTGCGGGGTGAGGGAGGTGAGGCTGGCTGTCCCTGTTCCCTGCAGGCACCCAGGCTCCCCTGGCAGCATTGTCCATCCCCCCGTGTCCATACTGTGCTCTGTCCCATGGCAAGAGCGTGTCCCTGCTCCCAGTCCTGTTCTCCTCCCCAGCAATCACTCCTCGGTATGGGACTGAGCCTTCCCGCAGCCAAGGCTCCCCCTGTGCCACGGGCAGGGGGCTGTGGGTGCCACGGAGGGGAAATAAAAGAGTTTTCCTACAGTTTGTGTTTGTGTGTGTTGGAGCTGGTGGGGAGCAGCGGGATGTGACTGAGGCTTGGCCATTGCCCTAGGGGAGCATCCCAGAATTGTTCAGGTTGGAAAACCCCACAAAGATCAAGGCCAACCACCCACCTTGACACTGCCAAAGCCACCGCCACGACCCCACACCATGACCGTGTCCCCAAGCCACATCCACATGGCTTTAAATCCCTCCAGGAATGGGGAGTGCACCACTGCCCTGGGCACTTCCAATGCATGACAGCCCATTCCATGAAGAAATTTTTCCTTTTGTCCAGCCTGAACCTCCCCTGGCACTATTTGAGGCTGTTCCCTCTTGTCCTGCCCCTTTTAGGAATGGGAGACGGACAAAAAATCCCAAACCTGTTGGAACCCAGCCCTCCCCAACCCAACGAGCCCCCCTGGACAAGACCTGCTGGGGTGTGTGGAGTGACAGCGGCACCCGCAGGCCGCGGAGCCCGACCCGTTTCCCCGGGAAACAGGAAAAAAAAAAAAGGCAATTAAATAAATAAACTAGATAAAACAAATAACGCCGTGTTTTCTCCCGTGGGCGGCGCTGTCATGGCAACGCTGCTCTGCCCGGCACAAAGATGGCGGCGGCGYTGTCATGGCAACGRCACTCGGGTGTGGYTATGCCCGACACAAAGATGGCGGARGCGYTGTCATGGCAAYRGCACTYGGGTGTGGTTATGCCCGACACAAAKATGGCGGMGGCGCTGTCATGGCAACGRCACTCGGGTGTGGYTMTGCCCGACACAAAGATGGCGGMRGYGCTGTCATRGCAACGGMAYTCGGGTGTGGCTATGCCCGACACAAATATGGCGGMRGCGCTGTCATGGCAACGGCACYCGGGTGTGGYTATGCCCGACACAAAGATGGCGGMRGCGYTGTCATGGCAACGGMAYTCGGGCGCGGTTCTGCCCGGTACAAAGATGGCGGCGCCGTCTGGCGGTGACGCCGGAAGCGCCATCCCCTTCCCGTGCCCGAGATGGCGGCGGCGGCTCCRCCGGTGCGGRCCGGGACCGGGASCGGGRSCGGGASCGGKRCCGGTGCCGGTGGCGTGGCRGCGATGGCGCTGCGCGGCGCCGAGGCCGAGGCGCTGTTCGAGGCGCACACGGCGGCCGAGCTGCGGGCGGTGGAGCGGCGGCTGCGCGCCGGCATCGAGCAGAAACGGGAGGAGCTGCGGCAGATGGTGGGCGAGCGCTACCGCGACCTGATCGAGGCGGCCGACACCATCGCCGAGATGCGGCGGAGCGCCGAGCGCCTGCTGGGCGCCGTGCGGGGGCTGCAGCGGGGCGGCGCGGCCCGGCCCGGTCCCGTCAGCGCGGTGAGGGGCGGCGGGGCGGCCACAGAGTCCCTCGTGTTCTCCTTCCCCTTTCCACGCGTTCTTTTACCCCCACTTTGCCCCCTTCCGTGGCTCCTTTTTCCCCTCTCAGCCCCTTTTCCCCGTTCCCACTCCGTCTTTCCCCGCTTCTTCCCCTTCTCTGCACTCATCCCCTATTCTCATCCTCTCCTTGCCCCTCTTTTATCCCCCTCTCTTCTCCCTCATCCTTTTTTTCTCCCCTGACCGCTCTGTCCCCTCTCCAGGTTCGCCCACCGGCCCAGCAGAGTTTCTACGGGGCGGCGGCTCAGCTGAAGCTGCTGCTGGAGGTTCCCGAGCAGGTTTGGGGGGCTGTGGAAATGGGTCGCTACCTGCCCGCGGCTCGGCTCCACCTGCTCGGGGCTCACCTGCGCCGGCAGCTGCAGCTGGACACCCCCCGAGCCCGCTCCAGCCCCATCCTCGCCCGGTTCCCCATCCTGCTGCGGCAGGTGGCGGCTGCCAGCCACCTCAGGTGTGCGGGGAACGGGGCATGGCAAGGGCAGGGTGAGG